GGGCAAAATTTTAAATTTTTTAAAATTCCCCCCCCCCCCCCCCCCCCCCCCATCTCATTTCAGTTATATCACTATTGATGAAGACTATAACGAGGCATGCGTGCTTGCTTGTTTTAAGTTGCTTTTATACCGCTCATCACGAAGAGTATAACACAGCAGTTGTTACTCGCCTTTGTTTTCGCTGTCCGACTTTACTCATACCATCCATCATGACAATGCATACAAAATAACATTTGAAAAAAACGAGCAAAAGAGAAAAAAGCAAAAAGAGACGGAACAACACTGAGGCAAGAGACAGACAGCGTCGTCTGGACTTGGAGGACAAGCGGAAGAAGGTTATTCTTACTATGTGGGCAAAAGAGCGGAGAAGCGAGAAAGTCTGGTTTGTTTTATTATTCGCATGGAAATGGACGGGACGGGATGGTTAACGAGGCCGCGCAAATCGGGATGAGTTTGTATGGCTTCCTCGGGCTGGGATATTAGGATAATTCGTGTGACGACTTTCTTTTCTTTTTTTTTTCAAACCAGGGGAGTTTTTGGAGGGGGGTATTTAAGTTCCCATAACAGAGGGACGGGAAATAGCGTTTTAGATGCTTTCAGTATGCGGCACTGCACGACTTTTTTTTTTTTTTTCGTTTTGATTCTGTTGTCCTTGTTCTGTTGTTCCCATCTATTCATTTGTTCTTGATGGAAACAGGACTTTCAACGAAATATGGCGGTGTGAGTGTCTGGAAGGGCAGTTTTTGGACATGGTTTGATGAAGATGCGGCAGTCCGTAGAGAAATACCAGTTACTAATGAAATATAATAGAAGTAGTTATCAAATCACATACTTGAGAAAGGTGCAGCAAGTTTTTTTTTTGATGTAATGTCTCTTGTCATTCGTAAAATATGTTAAAAATACCTATTAGTACAATCTTGTCCTCCTTCACGTCCCCTGAAAAAATCATGATATCATCAAGATCCCCCGCGCTCCAGCCTCTCTCCTTCTTTTGTTCCCGCAAGTCATACTTACTGATCTTATGAGGTCAAAAGAAATGAAAGGTTGGATAGGAAGGATCATAATATGTGAGCGAATGTAAAGTAAAAAAAAAAAAACATCAAAATCAACAAGGATTTCCTTTCGTCCCCCCAAAAAATCGAAATCAAAAACTCAAAAAAGACAAGCAAGCGGCTTTCTGATTCCACAAAGATCCCCCCGTCTCAAAACCAAGCAAAGGGCCAGGGATTCTCCCCCTCCCCTTCCTTTCCCCTTGTCTCTTTGCCCCCCCGTTCAGTAAAGAGGGAGAGAGAGAGAGAGAGAGAGAGAGGAAGAGTAATTTGCTCGTTTCCGCACATTGTACACCATGGTCAATGCTCATAAAAAGAAACGAGCTCAAAAAAAAAGGAGGGGGCTGGGGATGAGATGAGAAAAAAGAAGCGTTTTTTCTCCTTTTTTTTTCCTTTTGCCCCCCCTGGTCCTTGTTTGCCGAAACGGCTCTCTCCGTAAAAAGGTCCCACCGCTTGCTTGCTTATTTTGCACAAATGTCGTCAAAGTCGTATATACGTAGAGTTTCATATATTGTTCCTTTTGTCATGACACATAACGTAACAGCAACAACGTCCTCGGTTCCAAAAACGCATGTTTTGTTAACAACGAAAGATAAAAAGCTTTGGCCTTGCTACTGGGAAGCAAGACGTTGGATCATTACATCGGTTGTTGAGGTTTTTTTTTGTGTTATCTTCCATTTTTTTGGTCTTTTCTTTGGTCTTTTCTGTGGTAAAAATCACACCCTCCGAACGGATGGGGGGTATATGAGATAAAAGGTTTTTTTTTGATAAAATCATATCATGTCTCGTAATAGAGAAGAAAGAAAATTCGTTAAAAATCGAATCATTGCTCGATCCAAAATGCTTTTTTGACGAGAAAATGGCGGATCAGACAGGTATCGCAAACAGAAAACTCCGATAGATGATGCGAAAAATAAAATCTTGAAATCTTCACCGTTTCAGCCCCCGCCAGGGCTCTCCATTTTCTCGATCTTCTCCAAAGGTATATTTGGCGGGAATGGTTGGGACGCTGGGAATCCCTTTGTTTGCGTTGGGAACCACCTTGAGGGCGTCCTGAGTGGGGGTAGAGGTAGCAGCGGGAGACGGTTTTCTTGGTCTGAGGCCTCGAGAGCTCTTGGAACCCGAGCCAATAGCCCGAACACTGTACACGCTCTCGCCGCTCTCTCTGGCCGACGACCCGGAGTCGAAGGAGCCGCGCGGAGATGACGCCACAGATGAGGAGGGCGAGGTTGCGCACAGCAGGTGAGAAGACCTCTTGCTGTGCCTGGAGTCCCGGCTCGACGTGCTGTTGCTGTGATAGTGGTGGATGACCACGGGTGTGTGGCTGGCAGCACTGCCCCCGCTCTTGCGAGCGTTTGCTCGAGTGCTCGTGAGCTTCCGCCGAGATCTGGCGGTGCGGAGAATGGGGATGCCAAAGTCCTTGGAAGCCGTCTTACGAATCTTCTTGCCCCTGGTACGTGCTGACCTCGGCGATCTCGGGGGCTCGTCCTGGTGGATCTGGATATCTGCGTTGCCTTCGTTCGCCGTCCGCTTGGTACCTCTAGAGTCGGCACTGGCAGGGGTCACGGCGGATAGAGACGTCCTATTGCTCCTGGGCGTTATGGGCGTCGAGTTGAGCGGCCATTTGGGCGGTGCCGAGACGGGCGCCTCCAACGGCGGCAGCCGCGGCGGAGGCGTCCTCAGTGTCAACGTCGGAGGAAGCGCCTGGTGGCTAGTAGCAGGCCGTTGCCGCACAAACCCCGGGGGAGGAGGCTGTCGCGTGGATTGAATGGCATGCGTGGTGAAGAAGCCAGCTTCGACCAGCAAGTGGTAGCTCGCCAAGGCCTCTTCTCTAGTGGGCCTGTCGTCGTAAGCTCCAGGAGCTGGTTTCTTTGGAGACGGAGAGTCTGGCTGCTTCTTCTGCTCGGGCGAGGAGGGTTCTTTCTTGAGCTTGAACCGACCCCGAACGCCCTCCCATACCTGGCCCAGCACGCCCTTTTTCGGTGAGGTGGTGGCGGTGCTCGGTGCGACGCTGGGAGCGACACTAGGCGCGACACTCGGCGCGACGCTGGGCGCAATGCTCGGAGCCTGGCGCGACATGAACAGTTGAAGTTGGCGGGTGGTGTCCTGGGACCGGCGAGAGCTTCGCAGATTGTACTGGTGCTGCTCTAGCTCTGCTTCCAGCGGTCTTTCCAGAGCCTCTAGCTCTTCGGGCCCGAGAAACTGGCTGGGTGGCACGGCAGATACACGGTCATTCATAGAACCCTCGTGGAAGCGGCTGCGGCTCTGCCGCGGCCTGAGGCCCCTCGTCTTTGGGGGGCCCATTGCAGGCAAGGCGAGGAGGGTATGCTTGAAGACGCGTGCAGGATGTGCGGAGATGAGGGAGAGAAGCCCCCTTGGCTATACAGCTCGTCGACGGCGTGTTTTGGCCACCGTCTGTCTCGCAGCCAAGCGAAGCCGGATGCTCGTGATAAGTCCAAGTATCGTTTAATCAGAAAGCATCCATCCCCCTTTGATCCTTTTTGTTGTCGGGTGTCTCTCGTCTGCCGCTACCACCAGCGCTTGTCGAGGTCCAGACAATGGCCGATGAACAAACAGGCAAAACACGGACCAGCGCCTGCGAGCCGGAATGCTGCTGCTGTTTTGTAGTCGTTGGCTTTTTTCCCTCTTGTTGTCTCTTTTTCTTATCTCGGGCCTCGGGGGAAATTGGGATCAGATGGCTCTCGGCAATCTTTTAGAGTTTAATGAGGGATCGAAGCTGGGTCCACGGAGAGGAGAGATTTTAGCCTCGAGATTCGGGTATAGCATCCTTTCCCCCCCAATTGAACAGTGGGTGATGATGTTGATTGGGGGAAAAGGGAACAAATGCACTTACGTCCAATCTGAGGCCGGCAAACGTATATCCTCTGTTCTTATTTGGCCGCAAAAGAAACCAAGAAAGAGTGCAGAGCTCGGAACGGGCCCGTTCAGCTGCACCTCGCAGACAACGCACGTAAGATTGAAGCAGCTCCGCCTGGGGGCCAGCAAAAACTGCGCCCGACTGTTTTGTTTTATGTGTGGCACTGAGGTGGCCCATCCTCGCCGCCTCCCCGGCCACACGTGACGGTCGCCCTGGCAACGGCCCGGGAAGAACCCCTGCTAGGGCCTGCTAGAGCCTGCTGGAGGCTGGTAGAGGCCCTGCTAGAGCCCCGGAGAGGCCCTGGACTCTAGTGGACGAGTGCTCGTAGAGGGGCCCTGTAAGAAGTGGAAGTGCCCCCCGAGTGGCAGGGATCCGTTGATTGTTCGCAGTCCGTACTCGTATGTACTGGTGGCAGGACGGGCTGTACAGCTGCAGCGGTCGCTTGCAGTGCCGCCGAGTGGCTGTCACAATCGTTCCACAATTACGGTGTCGTCGAGACCACGAGGGGGACCGGCAATTCCTTTTTTTGCTTTTGCTTTTTGCTTTTTGCCTGCTCTTTTGCCTTTTGTCTTTTGCCTTTACTCTACGGGGTACTCTACGGTACATGCAACTGAGATGGAGGGTTGGGTTGAGGTTGGAGGCTGGAGACGGCATCAAGTGACAACACAACAAACAGCCAGGTCACACACACAACACAACACACAACACACAACACACAACACACAACACACAACACAGCACAGTTCGGCGTCTCACCTCTCAAACCCGTAGATTAAATAGCGCCGAACAAACACATCAACACGTTAGGGATTGACAGACAACCTTTTTTTTTTTTTTTTTTTTTTTTTTTGCGCGCGCACGGGGGAAAAACAACACAGAGGGGAAAAAGAAAGGAAAGGAAACCGCTCACTTTTGTACGAGCATGTCCCGTCCCCTCCTCGCTCTCATTAGGAATCTCGCTCCGGCCCTTGGCGCCCGGACAATGCCTGCAGCGCGAACGGAGCTTTAATCACATCAAATGTGCATAGCCGCCCTCGGGCAGGGTCCAGGCCGGCTGCCACGGTACGAGCAGAGCACGCCGTCCTGAAGCAGAAACAGAACTTTGATTAATCCCATAGGTGGTCTAGGTACTTTCTTGTGGTAATTGCCGCTCATCTTCTCTCCCCCATGCATATCCTGTAGAGTTCGCGAGTTTCAGATAGACACACAGACAGACAGACGAACAGCTACACAGACGGATCTCATTCCATTCTACGGCATCAACACACCAAGTTCAGACAAGCACCTTTTCCTCCAATCTTCTCATCCATCCATAACCATCTACGTCTCGCAGTCATAAAGCCTAGTCGCTTGCTCAGTTACCAACCTCTTATTGTTCATCACAATTATACCATAAGAATCCAAAAGCTGGGGCGTAGTCTTCCTCTAAATTAACTGTTGCAGCTTGACCAGCCCTCTCATTTGAATTATCAGTACAATCTCCATATTATTAAAAAAAAACAAAAAAACAGCGAGATATAGCAATGCTACTCATCTATCCAGAAAGATAGATGGACACTCTCTAGACCTCAACTCCCTTCTCTTCATTCACATTATACCCAACCAACCACTTACATTCACCTCACAAAACTAAATCATACATCACTCCCAACAACCCTGTTGACTCACTTTCCAAGCAAGTAAACAACACTACAGCAGCGACATCAACATTTCCCATCACAGAAAGAAAAACCACTAGTAGTGCCAATAAATTGTATCATTTAAATATGTAAGAAAAACAAACAAACAGCAAAAAGACATCAAATGTAGCCGTCCAAAGCAAATGGCCTCAAAAGGAAAGAATATGATGCCGCCCAGCTTTGACACATGACATGGATATATAAGAGTCCAGAGCAGACAAAAGACAAGCGCAGGCGGGGAAATCCATCTCCCAGGGTCCCTCTTCTCCCTCCCTTCAACAATCTATATATAGGGACAGCCTGTCGGATGGAAAGAATCAAGAGTCCAAACACAAAAGGGACAGAAAAATAATAACAAAGAATAACACACTCGCGCGTATAATTCGATGTGTTCCGTTGAGCCATCTCACTTTGACAAATAAATAAATCAATAGGAAATCCCAGATAGCCTCAAGCTGTGTCGTGCCCTCCCAACTCCGTAAAATCACAAGCTCCATTCGTATTGCCCTCTTCCAAGAGGAGAAAAAAAAAGATAACAAGAGAGGTATTTAATAATGGTAACAAGTCCCAAAACGCCCATGAGAAATCTATCACACATCAAAATGCAGATAATATACTCCAACAGTTTTGAGTTGCCCAATAACTTGGGAGCTGAAATCGCACCGCGCCCCAGAGGCTTATACTTGGTATTGGTTGAAAGTGACGACACCGATTTGGCCATCTGCTCGAGAGTAGAGGCCCTGGTCCGGCTCGGGGGTGAGCCCGCGGTATCCGTGGCCAAAGTGCGCATCGAGCTGGCGCTGGCCGTTGTGCAGCGCCTTGGAGCTTTGAGAAAAGACGTGGTCGTGTTTTCTCTTGCCGCCCGTTGGCAGCATCGGTGGAGGAGGAAGGGGCTCAGTTTGGGCCTCAATGGGTGGCAGGGGAGACACCAGGGAAGCAATCTTGAGAGGGGCCAAAGATGACTGGCTTGACATCTGTCGCCTGGGCGGAGGAGGCAGAGTAGAGTAAGGAGCCGAGTGGTGAGAAGCAGAGTATGGCGCTGCTGATGGAGGAGGAGGGGGCGCAGAGTAGGGCGTCACGGGCGCAGGTGACGGGTAGGAAACAAACGATGGTCGTCTCTCGGTTGATGGATATGCGGAAGGCGACTGAGGGTAGGGATCAGAAGGCCGACTGTCATAACCAGAGTGCCTTGTTGGCGGTGCCGGGGACGGGCTGGGCATTGAGTGTCGGGGAGGATAGTTGTACGATTGCGAGTCCGGCTTGGCATACGGAGATGGCGCAGACGACGTTGGGTACGGCCCGGTAGGCGTCACAGGGGGTATCGGTGCGCCCTGCGGGTGGGCATATGATCGAGGGGGAGCGGGCGCGCCATATGGCGGCATGTGTTGGTCGCCGAATACGAGGTGTCCAGGCCGAGCAGCGGGGGGAGGTGCATCGTAGGCCGGGGGAGGAGGCGGAGGCAGTGAAGGAGCATGGTAGCTCTCGGCAGCAGACGGTCTGCGTTGTGAATCCTGCGGCATGTACGGCGCGCGGTGCTCACTCGCGTTACTGGCAGACCTGGCCCGCATGGGATCCTCGGCGGGAGCTGGCGTCACGGTCCGGCGACGAGCATACTCCTCCTCGCGTCGGTCGTAGCCGCTGCTGCCCTTGCCGTCACGCTTCCTCATACGAACGTCACGGCGGATGCGAACTCGGCATCCCTGGTCAGCAACCGTCTTGCTGAGGGAAGTGCTCTCCATGAGTCCGGGGAACTTCTTGGCACTGAAGACGTTGAAGGGTTGCGTCTTGATCTCCATTCTCCAGTCCACTCCGGCGGGGAGGTCCGAGTCGACGGGCTCCATGTCGAAATCCTTGGACTCCTTGGTCGTCTCGTACAAGCTGAAGGAAAGACGGAAGTAGCCTTCGTGGCGGACAGACAGGTCGGGGAAGATGAAGTATCCGGCCTCGGTTGGTCGGTCGAGGTAAGCCATGCCAGATGCCGGGACACCAGTCAGGATGGGAGGGTTGTTGGTGGCTCCATTCTGGACACGGCCGTGAGCCATGGGGCGAGCCTGCTCCAGACTGGCATAGAGGAAGAAATTGGCGTTGTAGTCGAAGGTGATGTCCTTGCCCTCCTCGACGGAGGGACCCTCAATGATGCGAAGCTCAACAACAGGCGGCGGGTCAACAGGTCGTCGGTCGCTGTTAGCTGCGAGGGAGTAAGTACACGGGGTATTCGCAAAGGGTAGACGGCGATGCGTCATTGCCACGTCTGTCATATTGAAAACGCACCTTTCATGCCCGAGCCACATGCGCGAGCACGCTCCGGCTGCTGCAGAACGGTCAACTGGTACCAGAGGTGTCGGTTCTCTCTTGTGACGCGGTGGATGCGCTGGACCATGTCCCGCGAGGCGGAAGAGGCCACGGAGGTGGGCGTCGCCATGATGCCGCGTGGAATAGGCGTGGTCGAGTTCGATTGGAGACGAGGAAACAAGTATAAAGGCTGCCTTGCTCAGTCAGTGCTACAATTCCCATCTGGTAGCAGCGTGGAAAGCGGAAAGGAGAGGAAGGGTTGGCTGCCATGAAGCAGCGAGAGGCCAAGGTGTAGAAGAACAAGACCACCGACAACCATCCAGTAGAAAATCACACATCACTCACCTTGTTTAACTAGCAAAAGCCCAAAGTTCAAGACACTCTCCGGCCGCCAAAGTGTTAGGGGCGGGAAGAGCCCACTGTTCAAGTCAAGCCAGGAGACGGTAGCAAGAGCTGTACTCGTACGCGGGGAGTCGAAGGTGGTGTGATCATGTATAGCAGCGGCGACGGGAGGATATCGCGAGCTCTACAGTATCGTCGTGTCTCGGGGGTATTGTATGATGGAAACCGAAACCGAAACCGAAACCGAAATCGAAGTCGAGTCGAGAAACGGGTTTTGCAAAAGAAGAGAAAAAGGAAGAGGCCAACGGGGGAAAGGAAAAGGAAAGATCTGGGTGGATGTGCGACCGTGGAGGAGTAAGAGTAAGAAGAGAGAGAAAAGACACTGGCCCTGCCCCGGTCCACCTTTTCCTGGTGTGTGAGTGTGAGTGTGAGGAAGGGCCCCGGGAATCTGGGACTAAGGGGAGCGGGTCGCAGCTGAGGGAGCCTGGCACGTCCAGGATTCGCCAGGTCGAATAAGGTAAGCCTTGGCCGAAGCGCGAAGGGGGGCTTGCTTGACGCTTTTCTCTCTCTCTCTCTCTTCTCTTCCTTTTTCCTTTTTCTTCTCTTAGGAGCATGGGAGGGGGGGGGGGGGGGGTTCTTCAGGGAGGGGGTGCGGATTGGAGTTGAGGGCTAGGACGAGATGGCGGTTGGCTTCCAACGGGGAGGATCAGGATCTTCCCCCAGCTTCCCAAGGGCGGCCTTTGACATTGTATAAAGTGGAGAGGTTCACGTTCACGTTCATGTTCATGTTCATGTCGAGGATAGGAGGTACTCCGTTTTGTCCGTAATACTTGCAGTGCTACCACGAGTCTACCTTGCTGATATTGATGGAGAGTACTCGTATTGATCAAATCTGTCCCAGTTGTGCAAGACCTGCAGGTACCTGATGGCAGCGCGCGGAGATGCTAGTCCTGCTGGTACGGATACGGACCGCTCCTGGGATCTACTAACCCACAGGTATAGTACAGTGTGTGTTATGCTGCCCGCGATTAATGAATGGACGGGATAGAACCCGACAAGTTTGAGTGAGCTAACGACCCCTGCCCTGTTACTGCACTAGTACGAGTACTCGCACTTGGTAGCGATTGTGAGACTCGCCGCTCTGGGGCACGGTACGAGTACGGCGTGGCACTGTATGGCGCTGCACGTCTGGCCAAGTACCTACTAAGGTACTGTGCCTGTGTGTGCGGGTGCCTGTACATGTGACGCAGTACCAGCCCAGTACGAGTACAAGCACATGGGAGCACATGGGCATTTGCAAGCAAGAAAACGTCCCGGCAGGCTGCAATGATGAGAGGCTGCAGCCCAGGCGACGCATCAATTGGACGCGATACGGGGGGTTTCTGGGTGGCGGTTGGCCCTTTTCTCCACGCCCGGCTCTTCCCCAGCGGGATCCAGACGGTCGGTCGCAGCTGTTTGCTCCAGCGGTTGGCTTTTGACAGCGCTGATGCTGATGCTTGTGCTTGTGCTTGTACTCGTGTGCTTGTGTTTGTGTGATTAGGCCTCTTTTCTTCTTCTTTCTTTTTCGGCTTTGCACGGCTCGACTATTTTTTGGCTTTTGGCTTTTTGCTTGTCCCTCCGCGCTGGTACCGAGAACCCCATGGTCGGGTCAGGGTTTGAAATGGAAACGTAAAAGGCGGGCTGCGGTGCGGGCAAAAAGCCCAGCCCAGGCGGGCGGCGCCTACGAGTAACAATACAGGTTTCCGTCTTGTGCCAAAAGCAAAGCATTCCGGTGCAAAACAGAGTCAGGCCATGGCTGAGCTAGCTGATGGCATGAGCCAGGATGTGTTTTTTGTATGTACATACTCGTAAGCCCAGCAGCAGCCATTTTTTGGCTTTTGCGAAGCGCCTCCCTCCGCCCCCCCGGAGACAAAAAAAAAAAAAAAAAAAAGCGGCTCGAGCAGCTGGACAGTTACTGGACAAAAAAGGCACCGGCCGTCACACTTTGGTGGTGGATGGCGCGCACACTGATAGCGAAAAAGCGCAGATACTGTGCCCGTACCTACATGCAAGTGCCTGGCGACCCTGCCGCTCTCGCCGCACCGTGGGCAACAGGTTGACTGACTGATTTCTCGTGCTGTGCTGTGCTGTGCTGTGATGTGCTGTGCTGTGCTGTGTAAAGGTGGACGTCAGTTATCGCGGTTAGTCGGAGGAGGCTAGCGATGGGAAAATGTAACCAGACCTCCAACAGCCCCCGCCGTTCCGGAGTAGGTACCTGCGCTCTAGCACAAATTGACCCAGGGTGTGCGAGAGAGGCAGGTACTGTACAGTAACTCGACAAGCCCATCTCAGATGGTCCAAGCCTATGGTAGGGCAAGCACACAGCTTCAAGTCGAAACGAATTTGCTCCGGGTACTTTTTCCCTCGATGGCCTTCTTTGACAACTTTGTCACAGGTGGCGCAGACTGGCTTTGCTCTAGCTGAAATCCATCCTGCCCAGCTGAAAGCTGTCCCTTGCCTGTTCAAACTTGGTCTCCCTCGGGTCCGAAGGCCCAGCAAAAGCGCTATTGCTGCAAGTCAGGCCGGGTAGATACTTGGCATTGGGCAATCTACCAAGGTATTGCTTTGCTGGAATAATTGCCTGCTAACCCAGTAGTCAGGTAGCCCAAAACCCGTCTGGCCTCTCTCCCGTCTCGGCTCTGAGGTCTTGTCCTGTCGCTGTGCTGTCCAACTTGCGAGTGCTCGTACCCTCCGGCACTGTACCGCACTGTGCATGTTCCTCGCGCCGATCGGGGGGACCAGACCAGAGGTACCTCCATCGGCCAGCGCCGTCGAGGGCAGCTGGTGCGTACCTCGCGTCCCTTGGCGACGAGAACCTGGGCCACGGAGCCGGGGTGTGCGCCACACGTCCCAAAGAAGCGCAAGCTCTCCACATAGTCTTTTCTATATTGCCAGTGGGGTCAGCGTCGCCAAGGCACGGGCGTCTTGGGTCTTGGGTCTTGGGTCTCAACTGTCCTTGGGAGAGGGGGGGGGGGGTGTGCGAGTGCTGCATCGCATCGCTGTGCTGCCATTTGGCCACGGCCTGCGGGCCAAATCTATCGGTGATACCAGGAGCGGCCCAACAGCCCGTGCTGCTGTTCCCTGCCGCTAGGATGATTTCGCTAGGGCTCGACTCTGCCAGACGGTACGGGCTGGGACTGGCTGGACGCCGGACCATGGAGGGAGGCCCGCGGGCTGTGAGTGGCCGGGCTGGGGCTGGCATGCAGGCGGATGGTGAGCCATGCGGTGCCGGTGTTGGATGGATTCAATTCGAAAAGCCTTGGGAGCTTGGGTTGAGGGTGGTGTCGATGCAACGGCGACTCGGTTTGTCCCAGCAAGCAAGTCATCTGGCAACCAGAGCTCGTTTGATGCCTACGAGCACATCAGGTACTTGGCAGAGCACAAAAGCCTCCATTGCACAAGCACAAGCACAAGCACAAGCATTGGACTGGCCCAGCTTGCATCCGCATCGGATAACCTGCCATGCCTCGCCATGCCTCTTCTCTCGTCCCCCGTCCCCCCCAAGCGCCTCGTGGAGAGAGAGAACAAGCCCCCCCCCCGGCAGCTGCACCCAATCCCAGCATCCCGTTACCTGCGTCTCAGGTCCAGACGCTGCACGCTCACAAAAAAAAACAAAGTGCTCTGCCCACTCTCGTCGACATACTATACATATGATAACAACGACTCGGTGTTTTTTTTTTTTGCTGCGGCAAGACAATGAGCCCCGACATGACCATCATCCATCAACCTCAGTCTCTATACTGCACTCTACGGTGTACTGCACAGTATCCATCAAGGTCAGCTCCGACTGTAATAGGACGTTCTAGCAACCCGCCAGATCTTCCGTCTGATGCTAAAAAAGCAACCAGCAACCAGCAACCACTCGGCCGACGCCGGCCCGTCATGGGTCTTCCTTGCTTGCCCTCCCTGGCTCCAGTCCAAAAGTCGAAGCAAATCTCCATCCATCGTCAGCCTGCCCCCCCGTCCTGTCCTTTTCTTCCCTCTTTTTTTTTTTGTTTTGACACATGGGTTTCCCGTCCCCTCTCCACTGGCCCAAGAAAAGAGCTTGTTCGTTTTTGGGCTTGTCATCCTTCAACCGCCATCATTGATTTGTCCATTCGTATCTTTTGCTACCCGCTGCTGGGACCAGGGCCTCTCTTCTCTCTGTCTCTCTCCCGGTATCGTACAGGCACTTGTGAGATCGCACAGAAGCCGCCATTAGTTTCGTTTGGTCGCGGTGCGCTATTCCCAAGTGTGTGTGTGCGCCTCATCTTTGCTCATACTCGTACTGGTTTTCTTTTTATTCTTCCACCCCCGCCACGCTGATTGTCTCTCATTGTCGTTTCTCCTCCCCCCCCCCCCCTCCCCAATTTCGTTGCAACTGGACGAGTACACGCAGCGCAAGTACCCCGTCGAGCAGAGTCGCACAAGCACAAGCGTGCAAAGGGCAGGCCATTGGACCTGTGGATCTTGTACTCGGGGGGGGGGGGGTCCCATACTTTGTACGAGAAGCACTGCCGTGTCGGATCATGCAACCTGACATGTCATATGCAGAGCCGTTTACGGCACATCCACCCTGCAGCCGTTGCACGACCGCTTTCGACTGCGTGCAGCTTCGAGCTCGGTACCTCGCCGAGTGATGGCACGGCGCTGGGCGGCTGGGTAGCATGTACGAGTACCTACTGAACCTTGCCGTTCTCCTTTGTTTTTGTGTGACGCTGTTGAGCACGATTTCCTTGTGCCCTGCCCTGTCCAGCATGGTGGTGGTGGTGATGGTGATGACTGGTGACACGACCGCTGGCTGTTTCCGTTCTCAGTCAATCAATCAATCAATCAATCAATCAAGCCATGCCGTGCTCGGCACTATTTCGATCAATATCCATCAAATCCAAGAGCCGGGCCTTGTCCACATGGTTTCCTTGCTGTGCCTGTTCCCTCCTCCCCATGGCGGGCATTAGCTCTGCCCAGGAAGCCCACAAGCGGCGGCAACTTGTGCAGCGCCATGACCTATTTTCATCGCCACCGGCAAAATCACGTTTCTGCCATGCGACCCTCCCACAGCGGGCGAACACCATCATCGCACACTTGCGAGTATGTGAAGCCTCGATCATGCACATGCACGAGTATTTATATATACTCGTATGTATTGTATACTACCATGTACAGCAGTGTAGGTATCTGTATATAAATCAGACGTATCATGCCTACTTGCTCTTGTGCGAGGCGTGCGTCTTTGTCAAAGGGGGCGTCTGGGTCCCGTCCCGACTGCGCCCAACCCAACCCAAAAGATAGATACTGTAGGCGCTTGGTGAAGAGAAATGCAAGATGCCGTACTGTACGTGCGAGTACGAACGCCAGACACCATCACCGCTTAACCCCCATGCTGTACTCGTACACACTCGCTGTTCAATATTCCCGCTAGCCTGGCAATAAAGCTCACTGATGCAGGACACGGTCGATACAGGGCGAGCTTCAACCATGAACCAGTAAAAGATTGGATCCCCTGTTCCCCAACATTGTCCCCCAGTTTCACCCGGAAAGAGAGACAATGATCAACCCGACCACAAAGCAAGAACAGGCACCGGGATAGACGGGAAGCGGCGAGGTGGGCTCCGAAATCATGTAGGTGGGATTGCAGCAGTCTTTTTCTTTCTGCTTTCAACCCAGATTTGATGGTCCTCCGGGAAGCGAGCCGCTTTTGCTCCCTGGTTTCCCGTGGAGAGGGATAAGAAGTGGTTCTTTTTTCGAATGGATGTTTTCAAGGGAAGCCGGTCAGCATAACATTACCTCGCAGTGATTGGGGCGGGGACCGTTCAAGCATCGGCCCCGTTTCCGGGCCGTTTGAACTCTCAGACATGTGGTTCTATGGGTATGTATGTTTGATACATTGAATGCATGAGCTGCAGATCAGGAAGGAAAAAAGAGAACGGGAGGGAATAAAACAAGGAACAGGCATATGCCTGCTGCTGCATGGCTGTGGGCAAGCACGGTATTTGTCAAGTGAGATGGCGAGTGTCTTGTGAGTTAGGTATTGCTCTGTAGGTAGGCTTCAAAGGCTGTAAAACGAATTGCCTCTGCTTCAAAACAAGTGCAAGTACTTGGAGTCTACTGTAAGAGTTGTATTAAAGAGTTGACGGTGCTATGCTAACCCTGACTCAATCTCTTGGTCCTTCAACACTACCCGTGCTCTATATTTAGTAGAGGCAGTAGAGCATCCGTCTATTCTTCTTCTACATTCAAGCCATAGAGACCACGAGGCTGCCCTCGCACTGCTAGGATGGGTATTTCAAATACCGAGTGCATAACATAACCCTGGGGATAGAATTCCTCGTCAACCTGCCTTTCTGTCTGTAAACCCTTGCCGAGGTTGCTTTCCTTTGAACCGAAACCAGGTAGATGCAAAGAAGACGAGAGAAATTTCTTCCATGGGGCCCGGCCCGACTTGTTTGCTGGGCATTTGACAGATGCCATGCCCATGCCCATGCCCATGCCCATGAGCCCTGCCCTTTCGGCACCGGATGAGCGTCAGCAACCTGATTGAGTGCGTCGGCCGAGATCATCTCGCGCCTCTTGACCAGATCGCATTGCTGCTGCCTTACAGTGACTGCTACTGTACGAGTTTTTTTTTAATCCTGCACCAGCACGGACGAATACAACCACCACCACGCAGCGATAATAAAAGCCCGAGTCTCATACATACCTATCCATACTGTACGAGTAACTCATACAGTATCATATCTTCTCGCCACCCCCCTCCCGTGCCTTTTGGGGAGAGCCCACTGGCATGCAACCCCCCTCCGTCAAGCCTATCAGCGTCGTCCGGCTGCACCAGGCCGTGGCCCGCGAACCCTCCCCTTCCCAGAGAGTCGCTTCTCATCCTGGCCCTGGAACTGCGACTTGGAACTCTTGGGGCGCGTTTCGAGTTCGCTGCGCTACGGGTGCTTCTTTGTTGTGCAGTGCAGTGCAGTAGACGGTCCTTGCGGTGTTGAGTCGGGTTTTGTTGGCCGGAAATCACAAGCCGTGCGGTTCGCGGATCGGCCTGTCCAGCCTGTCTGTGCTGGCGCAAGATTACCAGTGCAGCTCTTGTTGTTTCGTTTTTTGAGACCAGCGCAACAAGGCCGGCAGACGTTGAGACAGACTACGAGTACCTGACTTGTACGAGAATCTGCTCGTGCTGCAACAGCGCCAATAGGAATACAAGGTACCCAAGGTAGCTTTAATAAGTAGGTACTCGTGGTTGTAGTATTGGCCGCAACGTTATCACCGACCTTGAGCCCGTCGACGGAGTAAGTAATGTATTACTGTCCCGTCCAGTCCAGTCCTGTTCCTGTTGGCGGCAGCAAATGCTTCGTATTCACCACCTACTGTACATACGAGTACATGCACGCCCGTCTTGACGAACTTGTTGATTTGCACATCATCAATCTATTTCGCAAACAACAGGCTTGAACGGACCGGAGCGTCTGAGTCAGCTGCGGCCGCCCTTTGCCACCGCCGATTGGCCTGTTCGTAGTTCCAGTCCCCCATCCCCAAAAAAAAACCCGAGGGCAAGGTTTCGGTGTCGATACCAAGGCCACGGTACGGATACTCCCTCCTCCTCTCCATCTCTCCTTTCTCTCTCTCTCTCTCTCAGCTGAGCATTCCAGCCGGCTCGCAACAGCCCGCCAGACGACTCGTGCATCCGCTCGCCACTCGGCTGGGTGCAAAGGCCAAGCGATCCGGTGACCAGTCCGCTGGTAACGCGACCAAACCAACAGCACGTTTTATTTTTTTCGCGTAGCCTCTGGGGCCTCGTTTGTCCCCAAATTCCGTCAGTGCTGCAAAAGGCCCAACTACCTAGTAGATACTCATACCCGCTACCGCTACAAGCTGCTGGCATTGACGAGTGGCACGATGCTTTGCCGCTTCCTCTGAGGCCTGGCCAATCATGGAGCGGGTTGCCCAAAGCTTCTTTTGGTTCGTTTTGGTTGTTGGTCGTTGGAAATGTTTCTGCTCTGCTCTGTAGCCCACTTTGGCTCTGGTGGCCCAAACACTGTGCGAGCCCCATGTCTGAAGCCTACAGTATCAAATCCATGCCCGGTATTCACGCGATCAGCGCCAGCGGCGTCACCGGGTTCAGCAGCATGTATCGTATCGTATGTAGTCGGAACTCGTAGTCCCCTTCAAGGAGCGCGCCAGGTTTTGGCATCTCGTTGAATCTGCCACTGTACTCCAGGTATATCA